CGCCGCTAATCGACTTCCCGCGTCCGGCGCCTGACCTTGACGTTTTTTACGAGAGGAAAGAATTGTCCGCGACATATCGGCAAAAGATTCCTCTTATTGGCGGCTCTCGCGCGTCCGCAGGAAGTTTTGAATTCCATCACGTAATAAAATAGTCGCCGCTAATCGACTTCCCGCGTCCGGCGGCTGACTTTGACACGAAAGAAAAGAATCGTGGAGTCCTCAGGACGTAACATTCGCATTGAAAAAATAAAACCGATTTTTTTCTAAGGGATGTTTCACTCCCTTAACGTACGACTCAGCACGAATGCAAAAATTGTAGTATCTTATTTTTGTCTGTAGTTTAACATATCCAAAGCTTGAAATCGGAGGGGGACACTTCCGTGTGTTCCCTTGTTAGAACTAATAATAAAATGAATATTCTTAAAAGTTAATTTTAATAGAATTTTATACTTAAAATCGAGAATCACAGAAAAACTTTTAAGTTTAATGTTAATAAAATTAAAATTTATAGGAATTACAAAATTTACTTTCCCGTTTCTTAAGAGTATCTGTAAAATATTTTAAAGTCACTTTTGAAAACTTTTAGAAGCGTTGAAAACGTTTATCCAAGTTGAAAACGTTGAAAACGAAAGTTGAAAGCGTTGAAAACGTTTATCCAAGATTATTTTAAAGTCTGTCTTGAAATACATACTTAAAAATTTCTTAGATTACGTTGTATTACTTTTAGAAACTTTATTTAAAGTAAATTACCCCAAGGGTTGGCCATTCCTTTCTTATTTCTTGCTCCTGCATATTACGAGCCATAAATATTTTATTTATTTTGCAAGAAGATGATATTATCTATGTTGCGTACAAACAAAACCATATGGTAACATGTTCTGCAGTTGACAGTACATGGAAGTGAAAAAATTGTTGTTGGATGCAAATAACGGCAAGATATAGACGGTGTAAGGGAATTTAATTTAATTGAAGAAGTACCCTGGCACAGTGAACTCTCGCAGAGTTGGCAGAATAACGTGCCTTCATTTGACCTCAAAGAAATGTCACTGCACTCTGAACCCTCTTTCTGGATAATAGTGTTTCTTTGCATGTGATTGACAAGGACGAAGACACGACCTTGCATTACACGGTATATGAGTAAGTTGAATCGTTGCTGAGTCTGCCGTAACTAACATCGATACCTTCTCGTTTGATTAAACAAGAACCAGCTGGAGATAATGGCACTCTCACCGCAAGGCGCGACCATCAACGACGACAACAGATGTAGTGCACTGCCGTGCTAAAAAATCAAAGCGAGCTCTGCATACACCTATTGGACGCTGGTGCTTCTTTGCATGTAGATGATAAGAACGGAGATATACCTTTGCATTACGCGGCGCTCGGGTAAGATGGAAGTCGTTGCTGGATCTGCTGTAAAGTCAAACTAACATCGGTACTCTCATTTGACTAAACAGCAATCAGCCGGAGATAATCGATCGAGTTATCTGCCATAACGTCAAAATAATACCGGTACTCTTTTGTTTGACTAAACAGCAATCAGCCGGAAATAACGGATCTACTGTTATCGCGAGACGCGTCTATCAATGCCATCAACAACGACGGATGTAGTGCTCTGCATATGGCTGTGCAGAAAGGTCATTATGGGATCTGCATCTTCCTTTTGAGTGCTGGTGCTTCTTTGCATGTGGTTGACAAGAATGGAAACACGCCCTTGCATTACACGGCGTCCGGGTAAGTTGGAAGTCGTTGCTGGATCTTCCGTAACGTCAAACTAACATAGATATCCTCTTGTTTGATTAAACAGCAATCAACTGAAGATAACGGATTTACTGTTATCGCAAGGCGCAGCCATCGATGCCGTCAGCAATATCGAATACAGTGCTCTGCATGTGGCCGCAGGAAAAGGTCTTCGAGACGTTTGCACCCTCCTTTTGGACGCTGGTGCTTCTTTGCATGTAGTCGACGATGATGGAGACACACCCTTGCATTACGCGGCATATTTGGAAGTAATTGGATCAAGTTGTTGCTGTATCTGCCATAATTCGTTATCGATACTCTCTTGATTAAGCTGCGATCAGCCGGAGATAACGGATCTGCTGTTATCGCGAGGCGCAGCTATTGATGCCATTAACATCAGTCGTAATGCTTTGCATGTAGCTGCGAGATTCGGTCAACGCAAGCTGTGCACCTTTCTTTCGGACGCTGGTGCTCCTTTGTATGTAGTTGACAAATACGGATGCACGCCCTTGCATTGCGTGGCACTAAGGTAAGTTGGAAGTCGTTGCTGGATCTATCGTAACATCAACTTGACACATATGTCCTATCATTTGATTAAATAGTAATCAGCCGGAGATAACGGAACTATTGTTATCGCGAGGCGCAGCTATCGATGCCGTCAACAACATCAAACGTAGTACTTTGCATGTGGCTGCGAAGCATAGACAGCGCAAGCTCTGCACTCTCCTTCTGGCTAATGGTGCTTCTTTGTGTGTAGTCGACAAGTACAGGAACACACCCTTGCATTGCGCAGCATATGCGTAAGTATATATAAGAAGTTGTTGCTGGATCTGCCGTAACGTCAAACTAACATCAGTTTATATTTATCTACATTTTTTATGATGTATGATTAAATATCTGAAATCCCTTTTTTGTTTCATTAATTTGGTATTATTTCTGTAATGTGACTATCTTGAATAAAGCGCATTTTGTGTTCTGTGATTCTTCAAGTAGCGAACAGATCCTTTATATCCTCCCGTAATTCCCGTTCAAAGAGCCATAATTCAACATCTTCTCGTTTGACTAACAACTAGCAACCAGCCGGAGATATTAGATCTACTGTTGTCGCGCGGTGCGGCCGTCAACGCCATCAACAACGAAAGACGTAGTGCTCTGCATATATCAGTTTACGAGAAGAACGTGCAATGCGTTATCATTGTGACGTCAATGTCCAGGACTTTTATGGCGACATAGCGTTACACGAAGCGATTAGGAAAAACGCGCTGGACGTAATCGACGCATTATTATGTGCCTGCGAAAGGGTCGACTTTACGCTGAGAAACAAACAGGACTTCAACATTCTGCATCACGCCGCGTTCAAGGGCAACGCTCAGTACGTGTATAAAGCAAACTCGACGAAGTCGCATAACGACTCAATATTGTCGTGCAGTAACTTGACCACTTAAAATTCACACAATCAATCTAATTTAACAAATTTGTGAATTTGCAGTATAATGGAGAGGCTGATTACATGCGCACGTCATTCATTGGTGGATATGAAAATGGAGAACGGAACCACTGCGTTGCATCTAGCGACTTTGCGCGGCCACAGGCAAGTCGCGGCTATTCTCCTCTCGCAGAATGGAGGCCGCGCCAAGGTCGATCTGCGAAACAATCGAGGACAAACACCATTGTGCTTAGCGACTTTGCAAAAACATTGGCCGCTTGTCGAGCTGATGGTGCATCATAATGCAGACGTCAGCAGTATAGATTTGGATGGTAACAACGTGCTGCATATCGCTACATAGCTAAGAGCCCGTATCAACAGATTGTCGTGCCTGTATCCAAAAGTGAACGAGATTCACCATTTATATATGCTGTACGTTATCTGAGAGTAGTTTTTACTCGTGAATAGGTCAACGAATCCTGTATACATACAAAGTTGCTGTTTTGTACTTAAAGCTTAAGAATTTGAAAAAGAAATGAAAA